TACTGGGATTGAGATACCGACCGATAGCAGTAATGATTTGCAATGTAAAAATTCTCTCTAATTTATTTTATTTTTTTATAAGAAGATGTTATTAGATTAGCAATATTTTATTATAAAATAGTAATTTGACAAAGTTTTTTAAATTAGATTTATCTTTTTAATATATTATCTTAATGTAGCTAGTTATTTGTAAGTATTTTTAGAAGTAACTATAGAATTCAAACTATAATATTATAATCACTTGAATATGCTTTTGTTTAATCAACAATTGAATATAATAAAGAATATTAGTAAGATAGCCAAAATAAAAAAAATTAAGAAAAAATATTTAAAAGCTCTTTTTATTTTTTTTAGTATAAAACTTAATAAAACAATTTTAATATTTATTATAAGATGCAGAGCTCTATAGAAAAATCAAGTACAAGTATAGTTCTGAAATAAAAATTTCTAGAAAGAGCTCTGATCATGAAGTAGTGCTATTACGCATGTTTCCTACAGAAGGTCTAGGTTGTAAAAGATTATACAAGTAATTCTTTTGGTTGGAATAATCTAGAGGCAATATCAATATCCCTTTGCTTCTAGATAGTACCAATATCTCTGTATTCAACTTGTGAAATACTTGCTTGGAAGGATAATTAACAGATTATGTATATTAGTTCTAATTTGATTGATGTTAGATACTTGCTTAGAAAAGTGATACAATATTACCAAAACTGAAGTAACAAGAGAAGTAGTAAATATATGAATGGGCTATAGTAAAGAATTGGCCTTATTTGAATTGGAAACACCTCTGATACTATGAAACAACTAACTGAAGAAGATAATTTCATAAAGACAGACTAGCTAATCTAGTATATCTAAAGGCACCAAATCAGAGCTCTGATCATATTTATATAGAAGTCTATAATAAAAGAAGCTAATGATAATACAACACCAACCAATAGATGAGAGTTCAAATTGAAAGTTAATGTAAATTAAGATATACTTTTTAGTAATATAATGCAAGGTCTATGGTTAGAAGTAGTCTCACTCAAGTCCTATGAAATATGGTTTTGGTAATATACTATATAAGAAAATACAAATAGATTAGCTAGTATCACTATATCAGAAAAAGAATATTAAGTTCTGAAATGGCAAACCAGTAGTGATAGCAGAACTTGGCTTGAGATACAGGTTAATAGTACTTAGGCAAATAAGTAAGAGATTTCTTGTCAATTGGTATAATTGACAATATAATACTAATACTATTATATAGCAAATCTAACTAGGCAGCAAGTTCCTAACTTGAGATACAAGACTATAGAAAGGTTATCTGCACCAATTATGGTTGTACTAATAGAATTCGGAAGAAGATTTGCAGTAGATCATGTTTGCAGGTACATCAAATTGGAAGCTCATTAGGAGCAAATGTCTAATATACTAAATTGAAAATTATAACTAGAAATAGTGAGACATAGAGGAATATGTAGTTACTAGAAACAGTTAATTGGGAAGCACAAATCTAGATGATACATGTGTAGAGCATAGACCACTCTAGTAGATTTAGGTTGTAGATAAATTAGTCTAAGTCTCTGTAGTTTATAAGTTAATATATATATAATTATAATTGTAATCAAAGCTATATGTTAATAAAAATCAGAAGCATGATCTCACCTTGATATTAAAAAAAAAGTATTTAGTAAGTACTTGGTAAGTATTTAGTTATACTTTGTGATGTAAAAGTGTTCTATATTTTCAAAAACTCTTATTCTAATTGCAAGTACTAATTTTAATACAAAACAACTTTGTATTAAAAATTTTATATAAAAAACATAAAAATTTAAAAAAATTAATAAAAATATATAAGTGTAAAATACTATAAGTATATTTTATAATAATTGAAAATTTAGAAAATCATTACTTCCACTTTTTATTTTTGCTAATACTATCTTCAGATATCAAAAAATACTTTGAAATAGATATTATTATTAAGTAAACTCTTTTTTTAATCTTAATTAAAATTGTTTATCAGGCCTTTTTGGTTTTAATAGTAGTAAAATTATTATACTTAGATTAGTAGTTAGTTTCTAAGATATTTATATCTGAAGTTAGTTAACTTTTATTTATTTTTTAAAAAACTACTAGTTCAATTTTAATAATTTTACTACTATTAGAACCTGATAAACAACTTTTATTAAAACCAAAAAGAGGTTTTCTTAATAAAAATACCTCTTTCAGAGCACTTAGAGGTGGCATTAGCAAAAATGGAGGGTAGAAATAATAATTCCCAAAATTTATATAGAGTAATTTTATATATTAATAATAAAAAAGTATATGTGAATTTTAGTAAATATATATTATAGACAAAGAAAACACAAATTTTAGTATAAGCAAATTCCAGCATAAACTGTCACACTAAGACCACACAAATTTAATATCTAGGTTTTCATAACATGAAACTTTAAACAGACCCAACGGCTTGCTTTTTTTTTTTTTTTTAATTTTCATATACAAAAATTTTATAAAATTTTTTAAAAAACCTACCCGGTTATTAAATATATAAAAAATTTTTTTTACAAGTTTTCAAATTTTGACCCGGCCGGGTTATGAAAACCAATTAATTAATTTTGCATGTCCTAATATCAATATTTTTATTTTAGTTCAGTTTTTTTTTGTTTTATTATATAAACTTAGTTAAATACAGTATAATGGCAACATTACAAATACAATGCAAATTTTTTTTAAAAATCAAATAATTTAAATTTTATTACTATAAAAATTTATCTTATTTATTAAGTTGGCTAACAAATTATTTATTTTTAACAGATTATTATCAAAATTAATAAAAAGAATTACAGTACAATTCTATATGTATTATCTTTTAAATTAATAAATATTCAGGATTTATGACCTTTGGATATTTTCTAAAGTATATTTTTCAAAACAAAAAATTATGTTAATAATGAAACATTAATCCGTGTGCAGTGGACTCAAAGTATATTACTGTAATACAAAAAATATAACAATATATATAGTAATGGTCAATACTGTCGTTAATTATACTTTTTGCATAAATTTATATTTTTGTATAACAGTGATATATTTTCTGAATTCACTGTACATCTACCTTTGTTTAAAATCATACCATAAGGCTCAACAACTTTGTACAATTCAGTGTACCCTTTAATTTCTAAAGGACTTAATCCTATATTTGTCAACTGTAAATAGTAAAATATCATTAGGATCTTTTTTATTTAAATTATAACAAAATGAAATTAGTAGAAATCCAAACCTCTTTGCCAAATTGTTTTACATCTAATAATATTTGTAACCTAATTTTGTCCTCATCGCTCATTAATGCACCGGATTCTTCGCCACCGTCTCCATTACTACTTCCAGAAAAAAATGAACTTCTAGTACTTTTTCCTTTTTTTAAACGTTTCATAATTTTAGAGCTTTCTTCTGTTTTCTTTAACGTAGTGAGATGTTCAAATACAATGGTGTAATATCTTCAGTCATTAAAAAAAATTTTTTTAAATAATAGCTCGCTTCAAATATTTAGACTGCTGTTAGATTATTATGCCCTACTAAATTTACCGGTTTGCAACAGCATCAGCCACGATCGAATTACATTCATTCCGTCTTTTATCACTGAGAAGCTGACTGTTAACCTTACAGAATGTGACCAGTGGTTTAATAATATGCGGAACAAAGTATGATGCTTCTGTAGGAGGTTTAGTGTTGGATCCACGGAATTGAGTAATAACACTACGAATGTGCTTGCTTAAGGTCTCGGTACATCTTTTTGTGAGAATGGTTGCAATTTTTTGACTCAAATCTGGGAGATCCGACTGCATAGAAGACAGTGAATTGGATATGCTCTCTATATATAGATATATATATATAGAGTGTGTGTGAATTAAAAAGACATACGGATGAACTAATGAATCGGTATACCAACCTTCGATGACTGGTTGTTCATTCATAGATTCTGGAAGTCTCGTGATAATATGTTCTTGATAAATATCTCTTATCTAAGTAAAATTTCATTTTAAGATGCTATCGGGCAAGAAAAATTTTAAAGAATATGCGTCATAACTTTAATTACCTTTAATGTTATATTTTCAACATCATGAGCCACAATTGTTAATAACTTTAACAATCGTTCATCTTGTACTTCTATGGAGGCTAAATTGCTGCCTCCTGAATTATTTGAGGGTCGTAAAACGGGAGAATCCAACTAATAACGAATAATGAAATGACGACATACAATTATACGTTAACAATGTCATCTAATTTATTAAGTGAATGTATCAAATACATTAATTTCAATCACCTTATCACTTCCTAGTGAGTTAGTTTCGGATAATAAATCAGTTAAACAGGCCAATAACCAACTTTTGTATCGTTGAATTAACTATACTCAAAAAAAAGAAAATGGCAGCATGTAAGTATTAATTAAGTAACAAAGAAAATGACTATATTTAAATAAAGAACCATTTACCTGTAGAGTCAATTTCCAAAATCGGTGAGAAAGTCCATATACAAACACGTCATCAGCCCAACAACGTTCTATTGCAAATAGTATTGATTTGCTTGCAGGGAGTTTTAATGTTGCTAAATGTTAAATCACAGGAAAAAAAAATTATAAAATTGAGAGTTCGCTTTCTAAAAAAAATAAAATAAATTAGAGAGAATTTTTACATTGCAAATCATTACTGCTATCGGTCGGTATCTCAATCCCAGTAATTAATGCATTCTCAACTTGAGACGAAACTTCCTTGAAACTTGAAAATAAATTGATTTAATAATTAAGTAATTAGCATTGCTTATTTCATCAATACGTTCGTATCAGCCTACCGCAAATGAAAATAAACTGGTAACTGCCATCTTTTCATGAAGTCCACGTAAGATGTGTGGTTGCGCAAGTATAATAAAGATTTTCTCGATGTGCACATACTTTCAATATCTGAGACAAAATTCATTGATATGGTGTAATTCTGTATTAAAAAATAATGCCATATGTTGTGTATGTACATTATTATCGATAAATTTGAAGATTCAATAACATAAATACTAGCTAATTATTATACTTTGCCTACCTTATGAAAAACATTAGAAATTCCTGGGATAAAAATT